TTCAAATTCTAATTTTAAAACAACATCAAATCTTCAAAATTTCCTATTTCCATAAATTGTACTAATCCTTTGAGAAAAACTATTTATCCCCAAATATACTTAAAAATCACCAAAAAATTTACAAAACGTAGCTATGTGAAATGAGCAGAGAGATTTTTCACTGCTTGAAATGTGAACGAGATATTTGCATTCAAACCATAAGACCCAGCAAAAATATGGCCTTCATGTTAACTCCCGCCTTTAAAAAAAAAAAGATAAAAACAACAAAAACAACAACAACAACAACAAAAAATGGTACGGTAACTCCTCGCATCGTGAGCTTGGGGGCCTGTGCCGACCTTCAGGAATTGAGAGACTCGGTTCAAGTGTAATCTCTGTAATGGTGGCTACCATGTGATTTGTAGTCGACTCGTTGTCGCTGGTCTGTTGCTGGTTTATAAAGATAAGAGAGATTATAAAAATGCTTTCTTCATGCCAAACTAATCTAAATCTAATCTAAATGATTCTGGAATTCTGAGAAGAGAGTTGAAAAACGTCATGCAACGGAGTATTTTTGACGAAATTTGAGGTATTTGGATAGCCGATGAAACACTGCAGTCTGGAGTGTTTTATGTATCTTCTCAATCAAAACAAAAACTGAGGAGTAAACGGAGAGGTAAAATCGTCAAGATCTATGCTAATTAACACTGGGTATCCAAACCTCCTTCACGGTTTCGATTTTCTTTGTTTTACCTTGATGAATTATTAATGAGTTTGAGAATAATATTTGCCACCAGGTTAGAATTCATCTTTGCAGCTGGCTTTGTAGTTCAGGGTTGGCCACACAGTGTTCAATTCATTATCGTAGTCACTAGACTGTACAGAGTTGTAAATATTTCCATACCAGGTTGCACTGGCAGGTTTATTCAAAATTATTTTGCCACCAGATTCAAAGTGTCAATGTTATTTGGTTGCTGGGTTCAAAAATTGAGGCTAAAAATACGTTTTTGTATTATGCAAATGAGGAAAGTGATCATGTCATGAGCAGTTCCACTAACACAACACTGAATCAAGAATATCTCTAGAAATATTGGAGCAGTGTTGAAGCGGACAAACGCCATTGACACAATGAGTGTCATTTTGTTTCTTTTGTGATGTACAGTTCTGATGACAAGTTAAAAGAACACTGCTCTAATATTTCTAGAGATATTTGTTATTCAGTGTTGTACTGTTTTGGNTTGTTTCTTTTGTGATGTACAGTTCTGATGACAAGTTAAAAGAACACTGCTCTAATATTTCTAGAGATATGTTTTATTCAGTGTTGTACTGTTTTGGTGGAACTACTTATGACATCATCACTTTCCTCATTTGCATAATACAAAAACGAAAATTCTCTAAAACGAAAGAAGGTATTTCAAAAAGGAAAACACCATTCTTCTTTATTTTGGAAAGCCTAGTTCAAATAAGCAACAATTACTTTTTACTTCATGTACACTCTATTAAAAACTATTTAATTTAATTGAATTCTCTCTACCTAACCGCCGTAAACCTTGCTATACTGTACTAGGGTAAAAAGAGTGTGTGAGAACGAGTAGACTTGCTGGGTTCGCAAGCTTATCGTTTGTCAAACATTTGCATGTATTTCATGATTAATAATTAGATCCTTTAATATCTTATACATGACTGGGGTTTTAAGTGTGTTACGATGCAGCTTCATCTCAAACCTCTAGTATCAAGAACCAATTGTATGTGGGTTTTAACATAAAATTAAATTTTATTTTAATTGCAGACAATTGTAAGCGTTGTGGCCAGTTCTTTAACCAGTTATCACCTTACAAAGAGTGTGAACATTAACTCAGACAAGAATGGTGGTATATATACTTGCAAGTACAAGAAACCCTATACCTGCAAGCATTGTA